CCATCAAGATACAAATAAAAGGCAGAATTTGAGAAGACTTGGAAGCATGATTTGACCACATAGCTAACTGACAAGGTGCGGGGTGACTCTACTGTGTTCTCATCTCAACTATGATCTAAAGAAAAAGTCCCAGAAAGCAAGATAATTCATCTAAAAATCTTCAGTTATGCTTGACAAAAGTTTAACAATGATAATTTTTTCTCTAGTTGTATAGCTGAAGAGCTAGAAGTATGACATCTGGATGAAGATTTCTTCTGCCTTAGAAAGCAGTAGTGCACCTTGTGGGTTGGGTCCACTTTATATTTAAGCTGAACATCAGGAGGGTCCAATAGGACAGTGTTTTAATGCAGTGCAGGTTGAACTAGGTAAACTGGATCAGCAGTGAAACTGAGCATGTCCATGTAAAATATAGGCTGTCTTGCAACCAGGAGCTCACATCCCCTGAGCGTTCTGCACCAGCACTTTACAGGCCCACCGGGCTGCAGAGGCGGAATGCCAGCCTCGCCACGTGTGCACACGGTTGTCCATTTGCAGGAGCAATGAAACACCAGAGACCAGAGATTCTGCAATGAGCACAGAGGTACACTGTGAGTTAATAGGTTAATAAAACTCCAAAACTGAATTCAAGGAACACTGCACAGTAGTTATTTCTAAACTTAGTGTATATTTTCCTTAAAATTTAAGATGCTCCTCTTTCATAAAAAAGAAATAAAAGAGAGAATATTAACATAATATTTTTAGCTAACTAATTCCTCCCGTCCTTCATTTCCAATAATATCTCGAAAGCCATGTAGGTAAGGTACAGTCCTTGGGTTGCTGAGTAGAGAAGATGCCCAAATTTGCCAGCAAATTTGGTGAAGTCTGAATAGGGCCATTTCCAAAGAATTCTAGTGACTCCATTTTCCAAATTCAAAACTCTCATCTTCAGTCCTCATGACTGTTGACTCTCCTGTAGTACTTGGCCTTTGAAAAGATTTTCAGATTCTGACTTTGAAGACCTTAATTATTATACTGCTTCCTCTTACACTTATGATTATTGATCAGCTCCCCTAGATCTTTTCTCCAAAGGTATTTTTCTGTCTCCTTCAGTGTTCACTTTTGTCTTTGGTTTCCTTGCAGGTCTGTTACTGTCTCCTCTCACTCCATTCTCCAGGAGGTGGCCTGGGCTCTCTCTCACTCCTACTTCTGGGCACATGTCCCACCAGTGTCATTTCCAAAGAAGATAGGCTCACTATTCTGTACTTTCTACTCTTCGGGACAGCCCTCATTGTGAAGGGAGCAGCTTTCCCTTGTGTCTGAGGCCCCGTGAGATGGCCTCACCTTAGAGATCTAGCACTGCCCTCCACAAAAGTTCTGAGTGCGAAGGACTCCAGGGCTGGAAGGGCAGAAACCCTCAGAGAAGAAAGTCCTGCCCCAGGCAAACCCAGTCCTCAGCTCCTAGGGTATAGCCCAGGACTGTCCTGACCAGGCCTCCAGCTGGTCCTCAGGCAGCACCATCAGCACCACTGGTTTCTTGCAGTTGCCCATGTTTGGTCTGATTTCTTTACTAGAATGTAGGCAGTTGTAAGCTAGAAACCATGAGCACATCTTCATACAGCTGCATAGCATCTATTTGCCTGAAGATCCAAACAGAAAAATGTGAATGAATAGAACTTTAACAGAATATACATCTCTGTTTTACACTTCATATTTTATATGGAAAGCAAAGAATTACTTCCAAGTCAACCTTTGCAATAGAACAGTTGACATCTAACATCTGTCATCAGCTGTGTCCTCGGAAACAATTCCACACGTTGCCCTCCACTACCCTCACTCTAGCTTGCTCACTTGGCCTCTCTAAAGATACTGCAACCAGGCTGGGATGGCCGTTATGGTAATCAGTGTGGAGATTCCTCAGAAAGCTAGGACTGGGGCTCCTAGTCAGGCCAGCTCATCCCCTCCTCGGTATTTTTCCAAAAGAACTGAACACATCATAACACAGTGACACATGTGCATCCATGTTTATAACAGCACAATTTGTCATAGCTAAATCTTGGAGACAAATGCCCATCAACTGAGAAATGGATAAAAAAAATGTGGTATTTTTACACAATGGAGCATTACTCAGTTATAAAAAAAAAGATAAATTCAAGTCTTCTGTAGATAAATGGATGCAACTGGAGACTGGATTAGGAAGTGAAATAAATCAGACCCACAAGTACAAACATGGTGTTGTCTCACTGGTGTGAGAACCTGAATGAGAAATTAAAATCTGAAGGTACAATACATACTGTGAAAGGGAAGGAATTTGTTCAATGGGAAGGAAAAACTAGGATGAAAAAAGGACAAAAGAAAGAAGGGAAAAGATCTATTTATGTGTGTATATATAATGTATATTTTATATATATATGTATATTTTTTTCAGGATAATTTGGATAATTGTACTGTTGATTACTACTAGTGTTTGAAAGGACAAATTAATGTTTAATTTTTTTATTTCTAGTTTTTTCTTTTTAATTTCTTATAACTGGTTATTTTTGTTTTATTTTATTTAGTTTTATCCAACTTTGCACATTTATATCTGGTAACTGAAACAACTAATTTGAAGATAACATCATACAATATAGCAACCATTGTTGAATTCCTATTACTTTATTTAGTGAAATTTTCTGTCATTTCTAATGATTCTTTATTTTAAAAAAACATCTTGTATTCCTTAAAAAAATTAAAAAGACTTAAGAAAGATAGTATAACCATTTCCGCTTTACTTTTGGAAAAATAATTCATCATTTTTCTTTGGAGAGCACCTTCATTTATTCTGAGTACACAAAAAACATACTAGGAAATCTGATCCTAAAAAGCAAAGCACAGCAAAGCACAGCAAGGCCACCTGAAAGGCCGCAACCCGGTAAGCACCTCTAATCATTGTTTACAGCATGTATGCACATAGTCTGTACAAAGAAGCAGCATTTTTGGAAGTATTTTGTGATCCACTATTCACTTTTGGTTTTTGTCCTGAAGTATCACATACTGCAGATTTGCTAATGGCTGAAAGCTATTTCAGGCAATAACCTTAAAGCTACCTCTGTCTGCCATTAGTTACTTGAAAACCCTGAGAAACCCCTTCCATTGCCTCTGCCGTCGCAGTTTAGTTTCCCTTAGTCCTACAGCCTTGGCAAACCATCTCTATGTCCTCTGGGAAATTAGTAGCTCTGCGCAAACTGCCGCAACGTCAGCGTGACTCACCAGTGCTTCCGCATAAGGCCACCGACCGGAGCAGGACGGTCCAGGTCTCCTGCCGCACCTTTTGTCCAGCCAGGTTCCAGGGGAAGCCGGTTCTCATTCTCGCAGATGCTCCTGTTTCTGTACTTTCTTAAATCTCTCAACAGCTCTGTCCCAAGACTCTTTCTCACCAATGATCTTGTTCAAGCACGTGCTTCAATGCAAGGCCTTCCTGAAAGTATAAGTCTGCTCCCTTCCCACCATTGTAGCTTTTAGCCTTCTTTGTACTCTGCAATTCATCCTTAGTTTCTCACATCCATGTCATCAGCTATATATTCCCCCTACTAGACTTGATAATTGCCTTTCTCCCTGTCTGGAATATCAACTCCAGGAAGGCAGTGATATTTATTTGTGTCTTATTCATTGCCAGATTCCAAAAATCTATGGGCATGGCCTGCGTTCCTGTAATCCCAGCACTTGGGAGGCTGCAAACAGGAGGATCACTATGAAATCGATCTGTGTAATGAGACCTTGTGGTATTTTAAATAAATTTTT